GGGGGGGGGGGGGCACACAGGATAGTCAATGAAAAATGAAAGAAATTCAAGGATGACATGTTTGCCGAGGTAATCAGGATGTTGGGCTTTTGCCTCATCAGCATGACCACTCGAGGGGCCGGCACGAGGAATCTCCGTGCGGACATGTAGCTGCTGTACTGCTGCAGTGATGAACAGTGCAGCATAGCTCTCTCTCTCTCCCTCCCTCACCCCTATTGCACCTGCATTGCTTGCAGCCATCTTCAACTACTTAATGCAGAGGCGCGCCGCTTAAACGCGATGGCAACCGCGCCCCTCCCGCCTCATCAGACATTCACCACACATCGCCTTTGTTACATAGAACTATTTGCTCGCCTACTGTAGATTTAACCTCTCATGTGGAGGAGGGGGGCACTTTTGACTAATTCAATCTGCCGAGCTTCCTCCGTAAAGGAGCTTCTTACTCCAGTACTTAGACAAGCAAATTATGCAAGAAAAGACCTTGTCACGTTAGAGTGTCGCCTGAAGCTAGAACATGAAAGCCATTCTGAGTGCTTGTACGTTACACTTCTTTAGTCAGCTTGGACCGAAAAGACATGATTAAACTGTCAATCCGTACACTCAAGAACCAATGGTGAAGGCGACGTTCCGTTTTGCCCAAATTCACCGGTGCCATTCCTTGTGACTTAGTAGTACTTAATGGGGGCTTTTATTGTGAAAGAAATTCATTTTGAAAGGCATGGCGTCTTAGGCCAGCCACATACCGAGTGACACAGCCGAACACAATTGAAGTGGACCATCGACATCCCAGTCAACTCCTCTCCACACAACAAGGCATTGAGCACTGCAAATCTACCATTGCAGGGGAAAAAAAAAAAAAACAACAACACAAACGCAGACGCACAGTAGTCTAAGGTGTATAATGGATGGCCATTATAAATGCATTGGGAGCTATATTTATTTGAAACCTCCAAAATCCTGAAAAACTGCCAGTCAGTGGTTTCCACAAAAAATTAGGGTTTGCTCCACCCCAAAAAGCAAGCAATAAAATAAATCAACAAAGTTATTAAAAAAAATAATCATAAAGATCAGCAAATAGGTGAAGCCACACACACACACACACACACACACACACGCACGCACGCACGCACGCACGCACACACACACACGCACACTCTGGACTGGTTGCCCGTCATTCACAAATGTCACAGAAGAATCATAGTTATCTGAAATGACCTCATACAATGAAGAATTCA